AAAATTAGTTCAGCCGTTTTGGATTAATTTAAATGCATAAAATATTTTCGATTTTTTTGCGTTTTTATGAGTTGTTCGTTGAAGTCTGCGACCTAAGCTTTTGCTTGGATTCTTTTTTCTTCAATAAAGGAAGCAGACAAGTCTGTAATGAAGTGAATTTGGAATACGTCGATTGCAGCGCCATCTGGTAATGGAAAGTATACTTAAAACCTCATTAGTCGTTCTTAGTTTTTCCTTATAACAAGCTCTTAAATGCAAATTTTCCGTATATTTTGACTACCGCGCCATCTAGCGAATTAAATTGAATTTAAGAACTTAATTTATCGATAAAAATTGATCACCTTTTTTTTGCTGCATGAAAATGTCCAAGGCAAATTTACACATGGTAGTAGCAAGAATATAAAAACAAAAACACCATGTATTTTGCTTGTGTAATGCATAGTTTCGAAAAGTTAAAAACGAAAATCGTTCGATGTATTTTGTTTTTGTTATTTGTTGATATAGAAGGAAGAGCAAGCAATCATATGATGTGACAACTTCACCTCCTTTCAATTCGCCTTCGGAAAATATCAAAATTTTTAGCAGCTGTCATGAGAATTTTTAAAATCAGACTTATGTAGTTTTGACAAATGAAAACATATTTAATATTCGTGAAATTCGTATGCAACGCTCGTGAAATAAATAAAAAGATATAAATTAAAAAACTCACTGCGCCAACAGCATATTAAATACACAAGCGCGCACGCCAACACTTTGTTCTACAAAATCCAAATCCAAAACCAAATCACAAATGGGTGGCGATCAGTTACGCCACAAACAACATACATACATACTTACATATCATTTATGTATGTACGTACATATGTGCCCGTACGAGTATAACGTATACGTGCGTACGGAAAAACCCAAAAACGTGTTGCATTCAATACTCGCCAACCATACAATTGCGGTTTTTCGCAGAATTCAAAGACCGGCCGGTTGACTTTTCGGTTAGCTGGACTTGTAGACGACAGTGAACATATTCAAATTTGGCTTATCAGCCAATTTTTACGTGATCTCAATTTCTAAGTTACTCATTCGGCTGGTGCTGATTGCAATCAATATGAGCTGTTTATGTGCTTCACCTTGAAAAAGTTGACGTTTTACTACTTTTTACTACTTTTTGATTAATGAGTAATGAAAACGAGAAAGAAAACCATTTCTGTGAACCGATAAATATTCTAGCTTACACCTCGATAGACAAGTTTGTCGTGGGCTAGTAAATGGGTAATTAAATGTCATTTAGTTTGTTGTTTTATGTGATCTACTCTGGGTTAGTTTCGTAATTGGAAATCCCACCGGATCTGAATCTTGGTTAAATAAAAAATTATTGACTTTATGGACTCGGGGAGCTGAAGTAAAGTTTTAGAAAAGTAGCTTAAAAGCCTACGAAATGGGGTCCTGAAGTGTGGCTTGATGAACAGTGAACTGTGGATGGAGTAATCCCTATATGTGCAAAGACCGCACCATCCTTATATAATTTGCGTTTTGTAACCAATGAAGCGATTTTTCGTTTTGCATCTCGAACTGCAACAAATGCAAGAACCTGTAGTTTATTCTGAATCACCTCCGAATGGCCGATGCATTTTTACGAGTAGCTTTCATTTCATATCAGAAATACACTCCAAAGACTTGACGCTTCCTGCCGAGGGGTGGCCGCATTTAGAAATCACAACTCCAGCCTTGGCTGAACCGAATATTAGTACGCAATGCTTACCTTACCACCGGCTATTGCTGTCGCTCTGAACCTTCCTTACGGCCATAATTTTTCGTGATCGAAGTGTTTGAGCCAGCACTTTATACACCTAAAGCCATGCAAAGCCTTTCTTAGTGATAGAGATCACTTTAAGGAGTAGCAGTAAGCAGCGCGAGTTGCTAATCGATTTGCTTTAGATATACTCACCTTCTTCTTCTTCTTAATTTATGTGGACACCGCTTATATGTGAAACAACAACAAAGTCAGTAGTTTTTTTTACGCAGTACGGCGCCAATTAGAACAAGAGTCACCTTGTTTGGAAGCGCGTTTGGTATCCAACGTTTCGTTAGTCGGTAAAACATTGGCTCTCGCCGCCTTATTATACCTCAAGTGGACTATTGCTTTTCGGACCTCATATTGGAGATGTTGCCTGTATAATTTCAATATGTTTTCAACGTCAAATCATCAGATCACCTTTTCCCTTAGTTGGTTGAATGCTGCCGGGCATCAGCTAACCTATGCCCCAAGCATGCTCATTGTGATACCACACAGCACCCGAATGACCCCCACCCGTTAAACGAACCAATGGGTGGAGTTTGAAAAACTGACCAGTCACCAAATCCAAAGGTTCCGCCTTAAAGACTTTCACCTAAGGTTTCAGGTTCTTCTTTTTGTCTGCAACCACTCTGCGTGCGTAAGAAGACCTATAACTATAGATATGTTATATATTTTTAGCTCGATAAGGTAACGTGACCTTTTTCTGTGCCATTTCGGCCATATTGTCTTGATCACATTACACGCATCGATACTTCGCCGTCTTGAGTTACCATCTTCAATAAATAACTCTACTGCTTATTTTCTGTCATGATGGCGAAAGTTTACACTTATGTAAACATCACAATGACTGATGGAGTGGAACTTTTTGTAACTTGAAATGAAGGGTATGTGAATGATAGAAGACAATACATTTTTTTTTAGTGGTTAACTAGAACTATTCTTATATTATTTAAAATATTTGAAGAACGAATCACATACAGAGAGACAACCGATAACACTTCGGGTATTGTGATAATGTGAAACGCAACGACTAGCTACACAGTTCACTGCTATGGTCAGTTCGTATCAGAAAAAGAAACTCAAAGTTGGGAGAACAGCAACGTGCGAATGCCGTACTGGTGAAATTATTCTTAATCACATTACTGGTTAACCGCGATAAAAGTAGAGAAGTGGTTTGATTTCAAAAATATACACCGTCGAATAGCCATTATTGCATAGAGTCAAAAGCAATTAGGGTCTACTTAAAAGCGTAATAACTGTAAAGATCTCATTAAAAAAAGGGCTTGAAATGAAATCGAAGCAATTAAATATCAATATTTTCATCAAAGTGTTTTTCTCTTCAAGTTGAGTCTTTGATCCAATGTAACTGCCAAGTAAGAATTAGAAATCTTTCAATGGTTTTTGCTATTTTTTTTATTTTGATCACCATTTTATTTCAATGAACTTTTATATTTTAAAAAGAAAGTAGCACTTTCAATTGAATTGTTTTTTTTTTTTACATTTTCCTTTTCTTACCTTCGGTGTTCCAAAAAAAAAAAAGCTCTACAATGATCTGGGGGTGTTGCTGTGGACAGCAATTTAGCTCACGAAGCAGCTCATTTCCCCTTTGTTGTCTTCTCTGTTGACGCTGAAAACCCAGCAAGTTGATGTACGCTTTGCCTAACGTTTTAAGGCTTATTCTTTCAGTTATTACCTTTTTTGCAATACTGGCTTAAATACGTTCGTCAGCTGTTTATATAACTGTGTTTTGTAACACTGTTAAACATATTCAGTTTGGTCTATAATTTAACCACGAATCGTCTTACAAACGAACAACGCTTGCAAGTTTGGTGGGGTTCATTGGAGCGTCCTTTTTCAAAGATGATGCGCATCGTAACGTAACTGTGAATGGTGAGCGCTACCGTGAGATGATATCAAACTTTTTTTTGGCCCAAAATGGACAAGAGCTTTACTTGCAGGACATGTGGTTTCAATAAAACGGTGCCACATGCCGCACAGCACGCGTAACAATAGACTCATTGAGAGGTGAGTTCGACTAACATTTTATTTCATTTTCGGGACCGGTCAATTGGTCGCCTAGATCGTGCGATTTAACGCCTTTAGATTAATTTTTGTGGGGCTATGTTAAATCTAATGTCTCTACAGACAATTGACGCATTGGAGGACAACATTGAAGCATTTATTCGTGAGATACCGGCCGAAATGTTGGAAAGAGTATACCAAAATTGAACTAAGCGGATGGACCATTTGAGGCACAGTCACGGTCTACATTTGCATGAAATAATTTTCAAGCATTAAATTATATGGATCGCACTATCGATTCAAATAAAGATTTCATGCATTTTTATGAATTTTATGAGTTTTTTTTTTTGAAAAACTTTTCTATAGCTCTTAAAAAATAACCTTTTATTTTTTTTTTTTAATTTCTCATTTAGTGCTGTCTTAGACTATGCGGGGGCCCTTTTTTCTTGATCTTATGATGAAAATATATTTTTGGATAATGTGTGCATTATAACGATAATTTTCTATGGGTCTTCAATAGAAAACTTCATATTTTGAAATCGGTTGTATTATTTGTCTTCCGATTTTGATGATTTTTGGTGTCAATGTTTCTAGAAAATATGTATTTGATTGCGCAATACCTACGTGTATTTTCATGCCATTAGATGCATGAAGATGATCAGAACGACTCCGAAAGATGATGAATACAATACGAAAATACACCCACATACCAAGTTTCGTTCAAATATCTCAAAAGCTGAGAGACCAATCGAGCAGGTGAAGCAACTTAGCTCACCACTTTAAGCTCATCTGTGTAAATTACGGTATAACTAACTCTCCAGTTCTGACACTTGTAAATAACGAAGGGTTGATAAATAGAAGAACCGGCCTCTCCTCATTGTGGATTTTGAAATTTACTCGATATTAAGAGAAGTACAACCAAAAATAACTGAAAATTCCAGTACAGCGAGTTGCGAGTTGAAAAAATGTCCGTATATAGGAGGCGCAAAGTGTGCACATCCACAATCCAGTGTTATCAAAATCACATTTTCTCTTATCTTAACTATTGTCTTTATTAGCAATTGCGATTTACACCGGTAATTTTTGTGCAAAAATGTGTAATGTTTTAAAATGAAAAAAAAAGTAAAAATATTTTATTTATTTATTTTATTTTTTTTCATTTTCTCTAACAAAACTAATCTTCAAGGTAACCTAAATGCAGGTAGCGTGGTAATGTCTGTTCCAAATATTTTATATAATCCTTTGAATAGTACAATCTACGCCGAAAGTCACCGGACGTCATTACAGTTTCAACACCATCGATCTTGTCATTCATCGCATACCACATTGGCAAAAATGTTACCACAAGAAAAATCTCTAAAGCAAGGAGAGTAAGGTGAGTGAATGGTCATCGTAAAAGTAAATTCATTCTATTGATAACAAAGAGTATGATATGTACATATGTATGTATTGTGCTAATTAATAAATAGTGAAGTGAAGTGCAAATATTGTACTTGAATTCATTTTTGAAGACACTTAATACTTACCAAAGTCCTTACAACGGTAATAATCTAGACGTAGCTGCATAAGTGTTGGTAATTTGCCATTGTAGCCGATTTTAATTAAAGTACTTTTGAATACCGTGTAATAGTAGTACAACATAGCATTAAACTCTAAGCGTAGATTCTCATCCAATAAACAGTAAAGCGAATAAATCAAATCATTCACAAGGGGACCAAAATATGAAATTTGAAAGTCCAAGAGCATTACATCTTTCAGTTCTCTGCTTTCATTCTGGTATTTGAACATCATATTCTTGGAATGAAAATCACCATGACAAAGTGCATAGCAAGCGTTCTCTCGCGGCGCCTCGCGGTACTCAGCAAAAGAGGCGCGACACTTTTCGAAGAGATTTGGCTTCATTGCTTCGAAGTATGGCAGGTATTCTTGCAGAGATGGTGTTGCTTTCAACATATCTACAAAATTTATTATACCATCGGTTATGAAAGGTTCGTCAGCTACGTTTGACAATGTAAATATGCCTCGTCTGAGTTCGTCAAAATAATGCGGCTCCTAAACGAAATAGATTTTTGCGTCCATATAAATATATAAATATATATTATATATAGTCAGTCTCATAGACTTTGTGATTATAAATTACCTCCAAACCAATTTTGTAACTAACGGCATGCCATTTGGCCAACTTTTCATATGCCGCCTTCACCTCCGTCTCATTGAGCACACGATCCCGCACCACTTCATAACCGCTGGGTACTAGATCTTCAAATACAATGACTTGTGCAGGTTGCAGAGCGCTGTATAGGCAACTATGAAAACAAACAAAAAACATTAAGCAGTAATTTGTAATTCTATTTTTTATTTTTTCATATCAATTCGCTTCACTTACGGCGCACCAAGTACCGTATTATCGCCACAATCTCGTAAAATCTGTTCAAAACGTGGTATAACAACGGTGTACATATTTATTTCCGTTTCGAAAATATTCGACTTGCCTAACATTTCCTTTTTGTGCCCCTCCATTTCGGGCATCGTTTTCACGATCACCGACTTCGTTTGCGCAACGCCATCCAAATCATAGTCCAACAACGCACGAAACATAACACTCGCATAGTGATCCCCCTTCATGGATGCTGGCGATATTTTCGCATTATTTAAGATGATTTTGCTTGTCTTGTTTTCACAATTAATCAACACTTTCAGAAAGAAATCATCATTCAACCATTCAGGTGCCTGCAATTCATCGGCGTTGAATTCATTTAAGTTTTCGGACATTTCAGGCAAATCGTTTTCGGCTTCCGTTCACGCAAAGCGGACAGTGTTTATGCAAAGAATTCACGATTTTGACTAAACAAAAACTTTGAAAATTTTAGTTTAATGTCAGTAATAAATTTATCTATAACTGAGCGCTCTTGAACTAAGCGTATGCGTTAATTTACCAACAAAGCTCATTGCTCTCCATTGTAGCGTATTTAACTAGAAAAGCTTTCTAACCTATTTTGCCCGAACGTCCCGCGTAATATACATTACTACGAGTATACAAGTACAAAAAGTAATTTCTACATAAATAATAGAACATTACAACGTTACATAAGAAATTATCACTATCAGACACTAAGTACATTAGATTGATCAAAAAATCCCCATGAAAGTCCAAAATACGACTCCGCCACTGCTTTTCGTATAACAGTATCTTTGACGCTCCCAGGTATTATACTTTTGTAAATTGTTTATTTGGAAAATTGTGTTTAAATTATGAGAGCTTGCCGTGCTCCTAAAAGTACCCTTATTTCGAGAAAGATCTCTCTCAAATAAGTAATTTTTATTTAATAGTAATGTTTTTCTTTTTAGGTTATACTGGCTGGCCACGGTGGCCGAGTGGTTAGCATTGCGCAAAGCTCAGGCTCAAATCTCCGTGCGACCAACATTCAATATTGAAAATTAATTTATATAAAAAACTAAGCCAAATTTTCTAATTGCGGTCGCCCTTCGGCCTTACATACAAGCTTGTCCGCTAACTCAATATGTATTTTGCTGAGTCGAGCAACTCATACCAGCTTCAAAGAGAACCGCTTAGTTCTCACGTTAAATGATCTACGGTAGTTCTCCCCGGTTTTTGAATGTTCTACTATTAGAGATACCAGTGCTCTTAATATGAATACGATTTTATGAAAGCACAGCCTCATGTAAAGCCACTAATTCCAACTGAGAAATACTACAGTCATACGGTAAACGAAAAGAATTTCTAATATGAGGATACGCACTGAGTAAACTCCGCCACCAACCCTGTTATCTAGTCTTGATCCGTTCGTATATAAAAGAATGAAATGAGTCCATGTTTGCTGAATTTTTCATGTACCAAAAATTTTCGCCCTTTCGACTTGTTGTAGAAAAATATCTTGCTCTTGAAACCATCTGTAGGTAGCCTAATTTTTTTGTCTCTCTCTATTTGTAGGTCGAATTTCACTACAAACGCATGATGCTTCCCCTTCCAGCTCTCGATATCTTTCACACGTAACAGTTTTTACGATTGATCTCATTGTTGTGAGATTCACAATCTTCTTTCTATCAACTGCTGAGCGACTGTCGTGAGCATTCGTCTTACTAAATATTAAGAGTTTTGCTCTTGCTGTTCCGAATGAAGTTGAATCCAGCTAACCAAATGTAGGGATACTTACAGTCCCATCAAATGAAAGACTTCATAAGATTTTCAATATTCTTTTTATGGTGGCTGTAAGCGAGTGAAAAACGTAGCAACCCTGCAGGGAGAATCCAACTGGCTTGTCTTTTTGCACCAACTAGCTAATTTTCATTCTATTTCCTATACACACAACTGGTTTTTTAATACGATGATGTACACTAAGAATTTTCAATTGTCCGATCACTTACCAGCTTCATACCAGTTGAATACCAGTTCTTCAAGAAATATTTAATTTCCGAAAAAAAAAAAAAAAAAAAATAGTTTGCCTGCTGTGCGAACACTGACTCTAAGCCGTTCGTCTATTGTGCTGATTTAGCGACCAACGTGATTCTGCGCATTTCAACAGAGTAGAGCAGAGAATGCAGCTCAGCTGAGACGAGGTTAGATACAACAAATCTAGGAATGTAGCTATGGTTGGCCCTTAGGTTGGTAACTATCGGCATAGTGATGTTAGTGTTGATGTTAGTAAAGCATTAACTATCAGGGCGGCAGCGTAGGTGGTGGCAATGGGTTTTCGATTGGTTTTCAATATTAGTTTGCCTGTAAAAAAATCTTTGTTTATTACCAATAGCATACTGAGCTCAGGCTCTATTGATGTGCCCAGTTGCTTGGCCACACTGCTAAACTTCTGCTTATTCAAACTCATCAAATGATTACTCAGTTTAAGGGTCGACCCATCAATTTTGGTGGGAGAAGTTTCAACCACATTCGCTTCGCTGCAGATAACCGTCTCATTATATTCTACTGAACAAAGCGTGAGAACTTCTCAAAAAATTGCTTATTTCAACAAATATAACGGATGTATTTCAATATTTGACACTTTTTTTTTATCGAAGACCCACGAAGAAGCTTACAAAACATTTAAATATATCTAAAACCTACTTCCTCCTCAGGTGTTGGCGAAGATACTTTTTTGTTTCGTAACAACAAACTGTTGACTTCCTAAACAAATTAATTTATTTCCATCAATATTCACATAAAAATAAAGAAAAAATTATAATCTCCAGCCACTCGCATGCGTAACTTTATCTGCCGTCGGAGGATATCGAACATCTGTTGCTGCCATGATCTGCAGATAAGTTTTCAGAGTTTGTTTTTTCTTTAATTTCAAGTGCCGCTGGAGTTAACTGCATGTAATTTAATACTTTGGCGGCATTTTTTGTTTCGCTTCTCCGGCCAGACTTACGCTGGACCTCTAATGCTCAGGAGTTCAATGATCAATGTTCAACTCGAGCTGCTTGCTTAGTTGGCGTGCAAATTTCGGTATTTACGATGTTGACATCTTATTTCCTTCCTTCCTTTCTCACGTGGGAGCGTACTTAACAACAACAACGCACGCAGGTGGCATCACTGCTTGCGCACATCTCAGGTTCCAACGTAAAATATATCCTCAATTGCAATTTAATGTTATTTCTCATGTACGAAGCAAATTGACTCGATAACTGGCATTCGGATTGCCTGCCGAAACTAACTGTGTAGCAGTGTTACTACTTGCCTAGTTTATGGGCCTGAATCCGGTTAAGAACCTATGGGCACCGACTCGATTAATTTTTATGCGGATGTGCTGAAACTAAATAACAGGGTCAGGGTGGAGTTTACTCAAGGGATCTTGGTATTTACAAATCCATTCATTTACCGTATCGTTGTAGGGCTTTTCTGGCTGAATACATGAGAAATACATAGAACCGTATTCATAAATTTCGGATAGCCAGGCTAGCCACCTTAAGAGCCTAGAATATGTGACGGTAAAATCTTTGGACAGAGTATCAGTCCGAGTAACAAGATGGCGGCCGAACATGCAGGGAAGGGAACTCCTTATATACTTACGCCAGCCTGAAAGAGTTTGGCCATTGCTGGCTCCACTTGTAAACTCAGTCGCGGAGAGTTATTCATTAAAGATGCTTACTCAAGATGAAGAAGTCTCAATGTGTGTAATGTGACCAGGACAATACCGACAGCATAGGACAGCACAGAGTCAGAGCAGAAGCATGCAGAGAGGCTGGGCGTACCATGTAGGCACTTTGGTAGGGTAGGTGGATGTCTCGAGGGGCGGCAACGTTTGGATAGTTT